TCATATAAATGACTAATCCTTCTTTAAAGTCCCACTAAGCCCTCTGATTTAGTAAGCTTATCTTAGATCTGAATCTGGAATTGCTCACACATAAACTATAGACCTGCAGGAACAACCTGCTTTACCAGCTGAATCTTTCACGCTTTTAAGCTGCAGGAGCAAGGAGAGAGAAGACCACAGTAACAAAAGGGGCTGAAAGCAGCTCTCCTTAAAAGCACCACGATGTGGCTTGGGATAAAACACTGTGGAAACAAAATAATTAATAGGAACATAATGCTTTTGTCAAAGGAAATTTATCTGTAACACTGTTGTGGCTTATTGGCAACAACACTCCGTGTTATTAATTCCTTCTAGTGTTTCCATCTTAAACTTTCAAAACAGATAATGTGAAAAATGTAGAACAGAAATGTTTGTTTGTGGGATCATAGAATCATAGAATCATAGAGTTGAAAGAGACCACAAGGGCCATCCAGTCCAACCCCCTGCCATGCAGGAACTCCCAATCAAAGCATCCCTGACAGATGGCCATCCAGCCTCTGCTTAAAGACCTCCAGGGAAGGAGACTCCACTACTTGGATGTTTGTTCCAAGCCAAGAGATGCTGTTACAAAATCTATTCTGGGTGCCTTTGTCCATGTAGACAATGCCCACACTCTACACATAGCAACTAAATCTCAAGTTATACAATCCTAACTTTGTTGTTGTTTTTAACTGCCTTCGTGTTGGTCTTGACCCATGGAGACCCCATGGATGAGACATCTCCAAGCCCCCCTGTCCTTTATGTCTCTGCCCAGCTCCTGCAAACTCTGATTCGTGGTCTCTTTAATAAAGTCCATCCATCTAGCATGTGGCCTTCCTCTCTTTCCACTTCCCTCCACCTTTCCTAACATTATTGTCTTTTCCAATGATTCATGCTTTCTTATGATGTGTCCAAAGTATGACAGTCTGTCTTGTCATCTTGGCTTCTAGGGATATCTCTGGCTTGATCTGCTCTGGGACTCATTTGTTTGTCCTTTTGATGTCCATGGGATCCTCAGCACTCTTCTCCAGAACCACATTATCTCAAATGCGTTGATTTTCATCCTGTCTTCTTTCTTAACAGTCCAGTTCTCACATCCATACATGGTAATAGAGAAT